ACATACATACATACATACATACATACATACATACATACATACATACAAATATACATATATATAAGTTCATGCCTATTTTTAAGAAAAAGGCATATTTGAATTTTGATGTATATTTATTGAATTATGTATGTACCATTTTGTTCCACAACCTTTTCACCTCTTAAGGAATGTACACATTTTATTTGTTTCCAGCCATTCTGATATATTCAGACCTGTATCGCCTACTAAAAATCGCCATGGACTTTCCAGGCAGCCCAATATAATTCCAGGGGTATCGCGATGAATGTAATACTCAGCTAGCAGGTGATTAATATTTATCCTCTTCTCGATGTCGTTATGCTAAAATCAAGAGAAAGATCAGGGTGGTATTTACGTGGAGATGAAATTCAAAGTTCATGGTGGTTCCGGGGCGGGAATTACGGCGAACGTGGTATATCCGTGACGGAGGTGTACAGAAACGTAGGATATAGGCGAGCACAGATCAATACTTTCCTTCTGCTATGGCCCCCTCTTCTCCCCCTTCCATCTTCCCTCTGTCTCTCACCCCTTACCGTGCTCACCCTCCGCTAGCAATCCCTCTTTCTCTCTCGCAACCCTCAAATTTGCCCACCGCCCTTCCTTGTCTCGTCATCCCGGGAGAGTCGCATCGCCTCCTCTCCCTTCCGCCCTGTCATTCTTCACGCTCGGCGCTCGTTTTCACCCAGAGGATCATGCATGCACGTATTTCCACTCTTTAACCCTTCGACCAGTGGGTTTTCCTAGTGCTAGAAAAATCTCGAACTTACAATGACATCCCCGACGCATAAAAAAGAAAACTACCGTGTAGCAACGCGTCCAACTATCGACGTTAACAAATTAATGGCGGCTGTTACATTGATTGAGAATTAAAAGCATACATTTGCGTTCGTAGCACGGTAAAGGCATGACGTAAATACACGTTTGTACTGGCCAAAGAGTTAACACGGCATGCCTACTCGATTAACATGCCCACGCGGCGACGAATTTATGAAAAGGAGCTCCTTGGGATGAATGCCAGGCGGCTGTCGTTGGTCTCTCTTTGCTCGCTTTATTCTGCTTCATTGGTTAGTCTTCCTCGATCCTCGGGAGCGTAAAACGCGATTTCTGGCCGCTCCTCGCCATAATCTACCTCAAAACCGTTTTCCCGGGCAGAGATTGGCAAAAGCCTCATCTGGATAAACATTTCAAATAACGAATGAGAAGACGGGGCGAAAACAAGCTCTTCGGTCCATTATTTGTTCAATAATATACATCACATTCAAAATCCTTACGAATACAGCAGATAAATCGTTAAACGTTGCTTCTGGTCATCCATTATTCGAGTGAAATTTTGTCCAATCTCTGTCTTCCAAGTTTGTCTACTTTGCCAACGTACAGATTCATAAATCAAACGAGCCATGAACTTGTCGGTGCTGTCGAAAAAAATGATACGACCCACGAGCATCTCACTCGAACGTAATGTATTCTTCAAACGCGACTTCGAGAGAGAAAGAGAGGAATTGAACGAAACTTACGCACGAGGTAGATTTTGTTCACGCAAATGTCAAGCGTTTGCTAGCTTCATAGTTTAATTTGCTAGCTAGATCGAGAAACGCTCGCTGTGTAAAATATTTCTACCGAGAATCTCGGAGAGCGAGATGCGAGAAACGATGAGATTTGATGGTTCCCCTTCTACAGCGTCGATATTCCCCACTACGAGCTGCTTTCGCCAGGAGCGAGTAAAAATTGTCTACGGGCCGAAATTACAATGGACAATGTATTGCGTAATGAACGATGAAAACGCCTACGAAAGCACGACACCGGTTTACAGGGATCGAAAAGAATCGCAGGTCGAAACCGTATTTCGTCGGCTGGATAGATCGGTCTGTCTGGTCGATCGGCCAGAATGATTTCTCTCTGGTTTCAAGGCCAAATGCCACGAGCAGAGCACGCGTTACTACGTGTCTAAGAAGTAACCCGGCAGCGATTGGTAAGTATCGTGCCGTGTCTATGCGTCACACGCGTCGGTGAAGGACCGACTTGCCTGATTATCTGCCGAGGGCCCCCCTAAAGTAGCGAACAGCACGCCTAGCAACGGCGTTGACCAGCTTTCCGACGAAACGAGACTTCCAAAATGACCAAACGGTTTCTCCTAGCTCCGCGACCAATCTTTTCGTACGGATCTAAAGAGTTCTCGGAACGTGACAATATCCAGCAGCGCGGTGACAGAAGCTACGAGCAAGCCCAACCCTTTAAATAAAGTAACACCGGTTAGAAACCGGCGATTCGATTCACGCCACCGTTGCAGATTAGTCGTAGTTGACGTTTCCGCGACTTTTGACAGATCCAATGAGAACCCGATCGCAGTTTAAGGTTCTCGGTTCTCAGAGGAGCTCGGAATTATATCCAGCGAAATCGCGAATGCTAGAGGATCGCGATCCACGAGGACGGCGGTCTACCTCCTTTCTCTTTGTGACCGTGCACCTCTGTCTGTCCGATTTCGTGGATTTCATTTTGGCGCAGGCCGGGTCCTTTCCCGGAAAATATCCACTCACCGTCATAGCGCTCCGCCTGCTCCGCCAATTTCGCTTTGTAAACGTTGTCCTCCCGTTCCGACATCTTGGATGCTCGTGGATTTCACGGGTAGACGAAGGGTTTCAGGGAAATCGCACGAAATACTCGTTTCACTGAAATACGTACACCTCGTCGTACAGCCACTCGCAAGCTCACTGACCAAGATGGCGGCGCCCGCCAACAATCGAAAGCAGTTCCCAGTTTCGCGCAGCCTCTGCAGACACTCCACTCGCCATGCGCTACCCGGCGTGTATTACTACGCGTGACGTCATCCGTCGTTACCGACGCTACGCGCATGTCGGTTAAATTCGCCGAATATCCGGTAACGGAGCTGAAAAAATTTCATTTGAAATTGAAATAAGAAATAACGTTACACTCATTCGACCGCAATAATTATATCGAACCGAATTTAATATCGGCTTTCTAGTAATAGCCACTCTATCATATTTACGGAATTTCTGTTATCGAATACAACAGAGAAGTATTCGTACAAATTCGCCCTTCCCGGTTTTTTTTACATTTCTCGATTATTTCAGGCTTTTGCAAATCTATAAATATAACAAAAGAATTAGCAACGTTATTGCAGAATACTCCTGATAGTGGTTCAAAGCTTGTCAAATGTTTCGCTTCTAATAGTCGAAACTTCGTTTCTAACCAAAAAGTAGATTAAACAAAATATTAATTTTATAAAATTTGATGAGCATGCGGTGGGAAATTCGTCTCATTGTCAGCTTGTAGCCAATTAAATTATTATCCTTTTTAGATAGTCGGATTGCATAACTATAGAAAATATACAATAACAAGTACTTTGTACAAATTTTTAATGGCAACGATAAACACGTTCTAATTTGGGGAAATTTGATACGTGAACAAAATATCTATCGATCGATTACTTCATTGTACTCAACAAAATTCTAGTATTTTCAAAATTATAATGTGCAAGGTAGTCATACAATGAAAATAAAGTTGAAATAATACTTCAATACCGCTAAGTTTCAAAGTGTCCAAGAAAACTGTGGCAACGAAAACAGCGTATCTAACGCCTCGTGTCGCTGATTACGATAAATAACGAATGTTAGAATATATTTCGCTTGGACGTCATAAAATCGATGACGCACAATGGCTCGTCGGAACATGGAACTAGAAACACGGAACTAAACACGATGAAACAAAAATACTTTGACAAAATAATTCGTTACTTACGACAAAATGTTTCATCGACGCTCGAATCAAAGGACGTTTAATGGCGAGAATTTTCGTGCTTACAGGAGATTGATTTGACTCGTCTAGTATCGGAAAAGAACTAAGGAACAGTTAGAGTAGAACTTCGCGCACGTGGTATATGAAATCAAACTAAATAAAAGTTCCAGGCTTAGTTTCGCAACGCGTGAAATAATAATTGAAGATTTTCAACGACGATAAGTAAGTGGATCGATCGTTGGGTAATAATAAGTATTTCACGGTAAACGTTACCCGTTCAAGATCTTTTTTTTTTAATTTGTTACAATAAATCAATACAATTTGTTCGATGGAACAAAAGGCTACGGTTATTTATCGTATAAATAATTGCACCATTTGTGCGACCAACGGGTGTTACATAGGAGATGCCGAAAGGCAATCATGTGAATGCTACAAAGATATTTTCGTTTTCTTTTTTCATTTTTTTGTAGCGAAGCATTTGTATTTTATCGTTCCACACGAATAGCTAATGTACAAGCACTATATAATCCAAACGTTTGTTCTATTCGCCTTATCGTAGTTTCTTTAAATTATTTTATTTTTATAGTTAATTTGTATTTATATGTATACAGATATATCCGATTATTATCAACTATTAAAATTATAATACAGCCAAATACTTAATCGTAACAATCATTGTAAACACTGTTTGCAAGCTAGATGTTCCGTTCAATATCGTCCTACACAGAGTGGAATTATATAATTGTCAATATACAAACATTATGAACAGAACAACTGTACGATGTGCTCATAAGAGGGATATACAATGGGTTTTATTAATTATCATATGTACATATACGGGCATACATGCATACATACATACATACATACATACGTACGTACGCAAAATCATTCGCGCTCAATTGCGCGCTTTGTACCTGTGTATGAATGTGTGCGTGTCTACATACTGTAGTTTGGAAAAGGATTTAGTTTGTAATGACTGGTTTTCTTCGAGTTCTCAAGTGTTCTTCGAAAAGAACAACTTTTTACAATTTATGAGCTCTCCGGTGTGACATTAAATTCTCTTTACACTCTTCTTACATTAACATCGATTATACTTTGTAACATTAGCTCGACGGAGTGTATTAGTAATTAGGCTAGTATAGGCAACCAGCCTAAATTCGTGGAACATTCAGTGTCTACATCTGCACGGAAAATCGCAAAAATTTTGAAGCGTGCCCCATTACCACCAGTTTCTTCTTTCTCACATATGGACGCTACGGTACGCCCGGCTGTCGTTATAGATATATAGATCATCGAGTATGTTGAAACAATTGCCTCAACGCACAGAACTCTCCTCGTTGTTACAAACGCTTTATCCACAGGAACATTTTCTTCATAGCGGTTACAGATTGTCGCATCAGCGTAACGAATGCCGCCTCTTATCCAATCGTTTTCGTGTAAAGGCTAAGACGTGGCAGTCGAGTGAACAGTCTGGCCGCAACACACGTGTAAAATGACCAATGTGAAAAAACGCGTCGTCTACTGTATCTATTTTAAAATAATTCAATAAGGCTTTTAGACACATACAACGCGGTTACTTCTTATTTTACTGACGTACTCAACAATACTATTACAAAATTTTCCTATAGTTTTTCTTCAATCATTTAAATATCCCCAGCATCGCATCAAGCATCGAAAATACATTTTTAATAGTCTATGTAAGTACTTTCCGCGATGGATACGTAATAGCCATTATGTCGGACAGCTATGGCAATTTCTCAGAGTTGGTGTTTACGATCGATCTCGTTAGAACTTACAATCAGTACCGTTTCTATAAAAAGATTCGGTACATCTAAATTCGTTTGGAAACAAATTATGAATACTGCATTAGCATTAAGTGGATTCTCGTGATTGACTTGAACTCCCCAGTTAATTGTAGTTTTGATCAACATCGATGTTTCTGTCATAAAAATCATTGATTTTATTGCTATTTGAATTTGAAACCGAAGTAACAGAAACTCCTGCAGCTTATTTGGTTATTAATAGTATCTGGATTTCTTTGTGAATGTATTATTAAATATGTTCAGCCTAGCGGCAGAGCCTAATGACATGTACAGAAAATTTTTTAAATCTATACAAAAATTGTATGCAAAAGCATTAGTCGAGCCATGTGGACTGAATATAATAATGTTCTGATTGTTTAGAAAAAATGGGCGAATGAGAGGGATGCAGTGGTAATATAGACAGAAGGATGTGTAGAACAATAGGGGCAATGATATACTACAAAACGTTCGTCTTATGTGTCAGAATGCCAACATTGAACAGTTCATTGGAAGAAGGTACTGACTAAACCATGTCCCCTAACAGCCCCACTATCACGTCGGCATATTTTAGAAGCAATGATCTCCGAAAGTGATTTCTAATATCGACTATCTTCACTTTAAATGAATCCAAACATTTTTGCACTGTATATTGGCGGTCACATTATTAATTGATATATTTATATAATAAGCTAAAATATGCTCGGGCACCGTGACCAATCACCTTTACTCTTACACTCCCAATATTCGCCACCATATACGTAGCATACACTGTCTGTGTACGGATCCTGCTCTTTTTTGAACCATAACGGTTCGTAAGCTTCGTATGGTAAACCTAATATTAATTAAAATCTTTAGTGGTCTTCTTTTTAATGATACTATTATCAAAAATATTTATTAATACCTTGAGCAGCTGCTTTCTCGGCTTCGTGTTCTCGTGCGCGTCGGACAGCTCTCTGTTTTTCCTCTAATCGAAGTTTTTCCGCGTTCGCTTCATCCCATTGCCCATTTTCCATTAATCTTTGATCAGGCCTAAATCTAGAATCTGTCGGAGCTACTCCCTCTTCAGGTTCATTAAGTTGACACGCTAGTTCCGTGAAGTTGTAAAACTTTTCCGAGTCTTCACTGTGAACACAGATAAAGATAACTTCAATGTTAATATCATAATCTAATAAAATATGCAAAAAGAAAAAATTCATTTTATTAAATACTCACGGCGGCATACGACGTTTCCAAGCGAGTATATAAGGCCCTGTTTTATACACTTGATTGTCCAGTGTTCCAGACGTACTAATCACAGGAGCAATTTCTATTTTTGTGTCCCATGTACCTTGTACTACCCACTTTACTTCGTTATTTGAATTCATGACTACTCCCTTCACTTTACGCTGACTATCCCTCGAGAAGTACGAATACGGTGTGTACTTCAAATGGCACTTTATACCTTCTTTATGATTCACAATGTCTGTGTCGCCACTTTGATCAACCCATAATTTTCCTACTATAATATTGTGTACAGTGGTCGTGACTTTTCGCCATGTGTAATGCTGCATACCACCCTCCATTTCAAGGTGAGCAGTTCCTAATGGTATTACCTGTGTTGACACGCAAACAGTTACACGCGTATTCGATCGGATTAAATTAATGAATAATAAAAGGGAAATGTTACAATTCATAAAACTTACTTGGAGATATTTTCCACGGAATTTAGATGCCATGGTAAATTCTTGCCAACAACGCCACTTTCGCCCCTCGCAATGCTGTGCTAACATCGGTGGATGATGCGATACTTGCTCTGAAATTGCTCGCCATCCTAAATCATCGCAACGATCACATTCATACGTTTCGCCTAATAAAGGATTGAAAGGTTTGCCAGTTCTGGAAGCGGTTGTGGAATAGCTGGATATAGTAAATGCAGCCACATAAGCCATTTGCTCAAAGCTATCTGTACATTCTGCTGCCCTGTTTAAATTGAATCAAATACAATTTTCCTTTTCCCAATTAAATTCCATACATAACATTTCAATAACGATCAATATTAAATATACCTGTCAAGAATATCTGCATATTCGTAATCTTCCGTAAGCCGCTGAAGCATGCTCAGCGGCTCCGAAAAATTGACGGGCATTGGAATTTTTGATAAATCTTTACCGATACAATTTTTCATAATGCTCCATAAATTTAACGGATAATTTGGTTTTTCAGGTACTCTAGTCCTTCTCTTCCTTTTAGAA